AACATGTTTGGCAAAGTTGTAAAACATGAAATGTTTTAGAATGCAATATGATCTGAAAAACTTGTTTGAATATCAGGTTTTTTGTTTAACATAATAAAAATGGAAGTGGCGTTATAAATGATTACCGACCACCATGACACGCAGCAGTAGTGTAAGTGATTTTGTGAATGAAGCTTGTTTGTGCAACTGTCAAATACGCATGTTGGTAAAATTTACGTTTTTTCGTGACAGTGGTCTAAGATATGTTTTCTATGAAGACAGATAGATGAATTTGGTTAGAAAACCGATTTAAAAATTCGAATACTGAGTGGTTATTCAATTAAATAAACCAGTATTCAGATAAGAACCTCAAATTATAAAAAAATTGAGACACCATTTGAAAAATGTCACAATGAGCCTCAGGCTCCACAACTTACCTATTTTGAAATTTAAATGATAGTTGTCAACAAACATATTTTGTTTGAATTGATTTTACTGAAGGTCATTTTCATTACAAGCGTTACAATTTAACTGTCGAATATTAACAGTTTTTTTCTGTGAAAAAAGTTGTATAATGGAATGTTTATAGTATCCCTTACTCAAGTAAGTGTTTTTCCCAACTAATCAAAATTTTTTAATGAATGCTGTACATTCTTGAATATAAATTCCATAAATAGTCAGTGAATGGTTCATTCCAAATTATTCCCGGCACATATTTTCCGAATGTTATTTTGGGAGGAACACAAATTACTTGTAGACTTTGAGTTTCCACACCACTGAAATTAAAAAAAAAATAAATGCATCAAATTGAAAATAACTAAATTTTCCGTAATGGTTTATTCAACTAGTCATTATTACTACTCATCAATAAACTTCAAAAAACAAAATATAAATGAATTTGAAATGAAAATACTCTTTGAATGACAGAGAAAACTTCCTCTGTTCCCTTTTTTGAATCCTGGTAGAATGCTGATTGAAATCACAACCATATTCACAACTATGTTCCATATTTCATGACTGTCAAAAACATGAGAAAAATGAGAGAGATATTTCAGTTCAAACTTTATAAAAACTTTCACCGAAGGGTAAGCTGATCAGACTCTTTATATCCGAAGGTAGATGATCATTGTGTCCGAAAAGAATGTGCTCTGAGCAGACAGCCTTCTGCATTTGTCCGGCCAAGATTTCTACATTTGTGCGGCAAGCCGGCATGATATTGAGATTCAGAAGTAGAGAGGGCATCATTCCACTAAGGACTTCAATAATAGGACAGGTGCTGATACTTGCCGAAGGAAAAATTCATTACTTCACCATACAGAGGCGACTCCTCTCTACGCCTCTTTCTGCTTATATATCCGTTCGAATACTCGGTCAACTGCGGTGAATATTCGTGTCCATATAAGATGCTTGTAAATAAATTATAACTCGAATTCGAGCATGTTTTCGGTCTGTAATTCATCGGACTCGACAAATCTAAATTTTTGGGGATAAAAACGGTTCACCCCTTGACAAACCATTCCGAAATCAGCTGCTCTAAGTCCAGTCATGAGTTGAAAACTCTGACCAGATGACTCTGGGTGCTTGATAGTTTTTTTCACTAATAAGTGTTCAATCTATCTCGACATGGAGCAGTAAATTCTTTGGAATCAACAAGTGCTCTTCGAACGTAATCCGGGTTATTTTGTTGTGCAGGTCATTGAGCCCAGGCTGGCAAAGGCTGGAGTGTCTGAATTGAGTGGCTGGAGTCCTTCCAGAAGGATTCCACATGATCAGCAGTCGGCGGATTATCCACAACACGCTGAGGCTGTTGGAATAAGCGAGAAAGTTTCTCGCGGAACTAAAGATTTACCGCGATGCTTCTAGCTCGCCTCAATAGTGACCTTTTAGCTGCTACTAACATTCGTTTCCTATCGAGGCAGTGCTGATTGGCGGTCGGCAGCACACCTTGACTCAAAGTGTGATAGAAACGTCCTAGTTTTGAGGCTATTCGCCACACTGCAGGCGTGAGAGCATAAGAGACGCACGTTTTCTCGCTACCTCGATCTTAGCCTCCATCTTGTGTACCCGCCGTTTAATATTCCGAATCGACAGGCCATGATTCCGTCCTTTCAATTCGGAAAGCCAGATGTCAGACTTTTCTGTAAGAACATCTCAAACATCCACATTGCATCAAGCCATTTCTTGTGACTTCAGGGGCATATGTCCGAAGGTTCGTTCTGCATGTCCTGATTATCTTCATTTGCCAGTCTCCTCTCCAGCCACGCCAACGGGTGGTGTAACTGCCCACTCCCACCACTTCATTAGCTGCCTGGGGAGGAGCTACATATATCCCTGACTCCAAAGATGAGATACTAAATCCTGGTTCTGAGCAAAAAAGGCGGCCTGCTGCGTATGTTTTTCACGCCACAGATCATTCATTGCGCCATATACCCTCTTCGTGTGGGCTCACTTGTATCGTAGTAACGCATAAGATTATCCCTTAGCTCATACGTTTATTCAAAGCGTCCGATGTCATTGCGAGTGTCATCTGTTGGCCAATCCTCGTTGTATGCCCCACCACCTTGCCTTTGACCCCTAGTCCAAAGAGGTCAATTGTGGGGGCCTTTTTCATGATCATTCATAACCAAGAATAGGATCAATTGGGTGGTTAGCCTAATAGATCTACAGTTGGCATCTCAGGTGCGCCTGAGCTGTCGGTCACATTTTGCATCAATTGCTCGAGTAGGAGGTGGCGCACTCACCAAAGGCCCCAGGTAGGGGATGGTCATCCCTGCTGATCAAATGTTATCGTTATGATTGTTATTTCGTTTTTTTCCAAAGGGTACACTGGTCGGACCCTGCCTTTAAAGCTCCAGCACAGTCGTTGAGAGGATGAGCCAGCATTATCAACCAATTACTACTTGGGTCCAACAATCATGTGTCAAGATTTCTGCCTTTGTGCAGCAAGCCGAAACGTTCTTGAGATTCGAGAGTAGAAAGGGCATTATCCTACCAAAGAAGTCCAAACCTAGCACCACTAACGAGAAATATGCCGGTAAAAACAGCACTCTGTGTTGTTGGATCATGAATACCTTTATTTTTTAAGTTTTATCTAGCCACCTTAGGACGCCCCCGTTTAATCTTGATACTTGTGAATTAAGTATTCAGTCGATCCCATAGATGACAACTCTGTAATATAAGATGGCATCGCCTCTACTTACTTCAAGGACAGTTGAATTCAGCAATGCATTCTTGGATCACTGTTGAGACTTATGGCGGGTTTTGATTCCGAATATTTTGTCTTTGGGCTCTTATCGAATCTGTAATCGATGGAAGGTATAATGAAATATGTTTATTTTAGTTTGGTTCACATGCACTCGATTGAGCTCTTTTTGGTGACATTTTTCAGCCCTGTCCAACAATTACGACCAAGGTGTCATTCGATTCGTATTTTTGCCTAGAAAGTTTAAGGAAAGGTCCGAAAACGCGCTGATAAAAATTACAAAAGTTATAAACAATTAAGTGAAAAAAAAATGGGGCTTTAGTTTTTTCTTAATATCTCGGAAAATTTTCTAAATTTTGGAAATTTGAAAAAAGATTTGAAAAGATCAATGAATTTGCGTAAAAAAAGTCCCGACTCCCGTGTCTCCATTGAGATTACCTTCAATGAAGGATGGTCCAACAATATGATTACCAAGAATGCCGGCCCAGATATTCAATTTTTGGGGAGTTTGTGAATGGGACTCCNTGAGATACGTCATTTAAAAATGATGATCAATAAGCTCATTGAAGACTTGCAGTTCGTTTTATCATTCTTCAATTCTTTTACATAATCAGTTTCATCGACAAGGGAACTGCATAATTTCATAATTAATACAACGCTACACTGATCGTCAAAACCAAAACAACTTCATTACGTTAACTCCTCTCTTCAAAAATACTAATTGAATAAACGGAGCCTGAGACTATTTATCAGTACGGATAACGTACATAATTGGTTCATTATTAACGGCACGTCAAGGTAACACAACACGTGACTCCATTATATCTTCACGATAATAATGTGCTGGTAACGTTATTCTCGCGATCTCGTGGATATCCGGGATATTGATTTACGTTTTGAAAGCAACAGGTTCTTTCCCCTCGGCAATACATGCCACCCCCTCGAAGATGACTCAAACCTTTCATATTCGTATTCAGAGTGATATTTGTGTCATTATATACTCTGTATATGAATACATCCAGCATGGAAAAATCGGAAACCGTGAGAGATCCAAAATCGGTTAAGTTATCAAAAAGTTGATTATTTTAGAGATTATTTTAATGACTTTTTTGAATTTAGCTTAGTTCCGGAGATATTCGAAAAAACTAAAGTAGCTACAAATTTCGTTTTAATTTTTTTCTGACGTTATTTTAATAGACGGTGAAAAACTTTCTAAGTTGTATGAAGTTGTATGAAGTCCAATGATTAATGGACCATTAGGTTTCAGACAAAAATTTCCTCTGCGGAAGTTTCCTAAATATTTATTTATTCATTATCAAATATTTCACTTGTTGAAAGGTACAATGGAAAAAAAGATGAAAAAACATATCTTCCAAAATACAACAACAAGGAAAACGTCAGCTTGAAAAAGAAAAAAACTATAGGTATTTACAAACACAAATAACATGGAGAGGGAGAAAATCATCGATAAAATTCCCCCATGAAGGAATTATAGTTAGCGGAGTTATAGAAGCAATATAGAAGTTAGTGAAATTCAAAGCTTGTATCGAGAGCATTGAAGTGAATCACAATCTTTCGATAAATTTAGAGCATTATTACTTATAGGTTTTTTTCAACGTCCCTAGTAGGAGCGTTGACGTATTAACGACTTGGTTTTATCGGTTCTGTATCACTTTTGCAGAAAACTAATAGGTCTTATTTCAATACTGATAACTGCTATCATTAACGGAAATAACAAGGTCTTATCTCTGAAGGTGTCATTCATATATTCACCATGACGAAGGCTATTAATTTAATTGCAATTTAATGAAGGTGATAATAGTCGATAACGGCCTAACTAAGTTCAAACAGTCTTGCCATAACTACAAAACAAGAAGTTGGCAGTAGTGAAAAGAATTTCAACACAGGAAAAATGTCTGATAGTTAAGGTAAAGTTGTAAAGTGATTTTAGGAGTTGATTTGATTCGTTTTAACATAAATTCATTATAAATTGGTTACATTAACCAATCAGTACAAAACATTGATGAGGCTGACGTCAATAAGAAACGTTTACACCATCACACGATTGAAAACTGTTTTGAATGAGATATTCGACGATTTTTTGAAATGCTAGGTTCTATGAATATTTCACAAGAGTGTGAAAACCTTATGAAAACCTTTATGAAAGCCAAGTTTTTAACACTTTTCGAGATTAGTTACCGTGGTTCGTTTTGTAGAAGTTTCTCAATGTTTCATCAACAAAAACTGTTGAATTCTTCAAACAGTATTTGTACGACGTACAGTTCGTACAATGTATGGAGCTTCGGTCCTAAACATAACCTGAAGCTTCTGGATCCCATCCAGAAAAAAGCCATTTGTCTGATTGGAGACGCGAACATTACTTGCAACCTTAATAGTCTGGAACATCGAAGAAAGGTTGGGAATTTGTCTCTCTTCTATAGATATTTCCAAGGGAAATGTTCAAGTGACTTGGCATATTTGATTCCACCGAGAGCGGTACATATCAGAAATACGCGACATGCTCATCGTTCTGAGGTTCAACTCAGTACAACTCGAACTTCACTTTTCAAGAACTCTTTCATTTGGAGAACTGGATTTATGTGGAATAAACTTCCTGATAACGTTTTTCCAAATGGATTCAATCTCCAGTGATTCAAATCCAATGTGAATCGCTACTTTCGCACAGGTACCGCTCTTAGAGAGCCTTAAGGACTTGCCTGTGGTGTTTGTGGTTTGCCCTCGAAAAAAAATGAAGGCGGATATTCAGTATTTTTGAAAGCCTTCGGATAGTGTTACCGGATCTGAAGCAGATTCTGATGTTGTACTTGGAATCAACACAACATCACAACACAACAATTCAAAGATGCCGCATACATGTTGTCCAACAACGTATTCAGCCAAGTCAGCGTAGAGTTACGCAACATATGGAAACCTATCATCAAGCGAAAAATGGCCAACTCCCACCAAACGGTCATCTCCCACTGAACCAGTGAAGCGGAATCAGTCATCACCCGAAGACGATTGTAGATACTAACAATCGAAACGTCGTAAACTAACGTGGCTTGAAATCTCTTAAAATTTAATTTTCATTTTATTTCTTTATTTTTATTTTATTTATATTCAATCGTTCTATTTTTACTTGTATTTTATTTCACTATTACTTCACTTCAGGTTATTTTTGCTTAATATAATTGTTATTTCCAGCTGTTCATTTTAATTTCTTCTTTTTTAGTTGTTTCAGGGATTTCAAATCATTTTATATATTAGACAATGGAAGTCCGAACTAGTGAAATTTAAAATATGTTTAAAAAAGAACGGATTATCAGTTCCCTTGTTCGATCTGCAAACAAAAAAAAAAAGATGTACTGACACTTGAAAAAAACAAACGAAAAATATACAATTGGTCAATGGATAAAATGTTGCACGCATCATTGAAAGAAATCAAATCGGAGTCTCAAATATGTACAAATTGAATTGACACAAAACTATTATGGAATACCGTTAACATTACATCCAGATGATACAGATCACGTGACCAATTATCTATAAGAATTTGTAGAAATATTCTACATATAGTTAAATATTGGAAAAAATCTTGAACAGAAAATCACACAGGAAAATAGTATTGCGTTCAAAGAAAACACTTCTCTGATTTTTTTCTTCTCAGTCCAACATCCCATATCGACCTATGATGCATTGTTTGGAACCTTTGGTGTAGTAATGAATATTACTGAAGATTTTTCTCAAGACCAAACTGTTGTTTTAACACCTCGACAGACGTTTCGATCACCAAGTGATCACCTTCAAGAGGAAGATTAAAAGTAAATATACTTACAATGTTATGCTTATTTATACCATAGATCCTACCTACCAAATAGCAAAATGGCTCACTAAGGAATTTGAAGGCTCGCCTATTGCGGAACCAGGTTTTAGTATCAAAAACTCTTTAGAGTTCATACAACATACAAAAAACATCGTTCTGCAAGCTGAGATTGTTTCCTTTGATGTTTCCTAGCGTACCAATTCCACAGACCTTGCAATACCTCAGGGAATTACAAGAGAAAAATAATTTCAATAATAACGAATTTGATGAATTTGTTTCTCTCTCTAACTTGTCTATGAAACAAAACTGTTTCCAGGAAGAAGGTTGCTTTTATGAACAACAGGACGGAACGGCTATGGGTAACCGCTTGTCCCTCTACCTGGCAAACCTGTTGATGAGCAGATTCGAAATGAAAACCGAAGAAAACTCAAAGTATTTTCCTAGGACATGGTTGAGGTATGTGAATGATATTTTCGCGATATTCGATATTGAGGACTTTGTTTCCTATTTAAATGACATAATTCCATCAATAAAATTCACGTATGAATTAGAATATAAAGGACAACTTCCATTTCTTGACGTTTTGGTAATGAGGAGCCAGTATAGAGGGCTAGAATACGATATATTTAGAAAGAAAACAAGCACGTACAGGTAACTTCCTGACAGTTCACATCACTGTGAACAGCACAAATGTGCTGGGCTGAATTTTCTAGTGCATCGTCTTTTGATTTTTCCTCTCACACATGAGAGGTTCAGAAAAGAAAAACGTGCAATACAGGAAATAGCAGCCAGTAACACTACAAAGCCTTTTAGGAAATCCAAAAGTCGAGAATTCGAAAAAGTCTGGGATTTACGAAATTAAATGTAAGGACTGCAATGCAAAATATTGTGGACAGACAAAAAGATCTATTAAAATAAGATATAAGGAACACTCAACACACATAAAATAAGAAAGACCTGAAAAATCACCAGTCGCCCATCATATTTTGCAACAAAATCATTTCATAGACTTTAGTTCATTAAGATTAGTTAGACAAGTTACCAACATGCATCTTGATGCATATGAGAGTGTAGAAATCAGTAAATATAATGATATTATGAATAACGATGGTGGACCAATACCTAATAGTATACCATATAACTTGTTGAAATAATATTTTAATTATTAGATTTATTTGACTATTACATAAGGACACATTGTAAAATGAATTCAAAACTAGTAGATAAGGCAATATTGTGAAATTAATTTAGGGCACAGGTACCTAGAAGAGGTATCTATAGTATAAATAAGGATAACATTGTAAGTATATTTAATTTGATCTTCCTCTTGAAGATGATCACTTGTTGATCAAAATACGTGTTGAGGTGTTAAAATAACGGTTTGGTGTTGGGAAAAAACTCTAGTAATATCCATTCCATATCGAAGTAATCAATTAAACGAATATTCTGTTAAAATATTGAACAGACACTGACGATGAAATTCACACGTTGAATTCATAGGGGAAAACTACGTATTATACCGTATAAATTCGAGCAACTGAAAGATATACTCGATCTGAAAATAAAAGAAGAAAAGAAGCAGAAATGTTTTTTCACAATACCGGACGTTTTCTTTGTATTGCTTCTCGCAAATGGTGCATAACTTCAGGTTTATAATCCTCATTGACCGAACAACCATGTGGCAAGAACTCCTGATGCACTGCACCAAGGTAATCTAAATAATTTTGGAAAGAACTTCGCTGCCACACGCTTCATGTCAAAAATTTCCGAAAAATTCTCATATCGATATGCCGACTTCCTCAGTAACTTTTCTAACAGTGAGTCGACGATTCTCTATAATAAATTTTTTCACTTTAATCGCTTGTTGATATACTGGGGCATCTGGGGCGAGCGTCGTCATTTCTGAGTCGTCATTTCTGAGCATTTTTCTGAGTCGGAGTACATTCACGAAAGACAGTAGGAGGGGTCCGGATTGGGGCAGACAGACTAGACTAGATAATACAAAAAAAGTTTTCTGGGGAATTGAACACGGGACGTTCGGTATGGTAGCCTTTGAGTATAATTTTGTCGCTAGCGAGGACTACTGAAAGTGAGTGCTAATAGTTGGTAGAAATGGTTATTGCGAGTTCGGTTAGTTGTGGCATTGTTGATAACCCAGCGCATTTAACATGATAGGTTGGAAGCAACTTGGAAGTAACGCGGTTGAATTATAAAAATAATGGCATTATCATCTTTCCTCTCCTCATAATGACCAACCCGGCCTCCTCTCTGATTGGCTAGTTGAAATGTACATCGTAGTCTTGTAAAATTACATTTTAATCCATTTTGAAACTTGTAACAGTACAGTCAGAATAAACCTTGTTTTTTCTATAGTACTAAGTACCAGTTATTTATCTTTTCTTACCTTCCACAAGATTTAATATAATTCTTGTGTGTATTAATTATTCATACTCAGGATATTGAAGGAGAACGAGAATGTTTCCTACTTATTCACCAAACTCAAGAATGTATCATCTTTCCCTCCAACCAATTTCGTGGAGTCCACTAGATACTCGTAAGGACAACAAGAGAATTGTTCCGAATTCTTGGGGTTCTTGTTGAATACTCTTCGTGAGCAAAACAATAGCAGAATCAACACTCCTGACCGTTCTGGATTGAATGATTCCGTACAGTCTATCTCGTCTTGTATTTGTTAATCCTTTGCTGGAAAAATCCTCACTTGCTTACTTTGTACTAAATGTTCAAGAGGTAGCGAAAATGTATGTGAATTTCTAGAACTTCAACTAGCGTTTCCTAATATGACTAAAAAGCACTCCGTGCAAAAATTATTGTTAAATCATCTGAAAATGGAACTTTTAACAGGTGGAAATCGATTGCATTGCCAGACATGCGCCAAACTAACTGACTGTTATAAGAAAACAAGTATATCTGAGGCACCAGAGAATCTAATAATAACACTGATGATCTACAAACATGACTCAACCTCTGACGGAAGCACCAAACTCTTACGAAGGTTCGAAATAGATGAACACTTTAATCTAGCAGACCACTATTATAATCTTCATGCAGTCATTATTCACTGTGGTTTTGGTGTTGAATCTGTTCATTATTACGCCTTGATCAAAGACGCAACCACAGGTTCAAGTTTAAAGTCGTGTCACTAACTGTTCTGGCAAAGTATTGAATTTATTGGAGCCTCTGGAGACACCCTACATTTTGTTCAGATGATGTGGTGCTGCAGATTTTTCCGGGTATTCCTGCAGCTGAAAAAGCAAATGCGCAATGGAATCAATGAAGCCGTATCGCCAATTAATTTTTGTTGTTGTTTTATAATTATTAATTGTTGATTAACATACAATTTCTTTCGAATTCTTATTATATCAACTGACTAACTAGGTAATTATGGAGGATGAAAATGTTTCGAATGAATTCCATGCTGGAAAATAGTAAAATACCTTATTTATTTCAGATCCAATAAACATGATTTACTGAAAGCGTAATTACTTAAAAGATCTTCAAAAATGACTACATCAACTTTAACGAAAACTGAAACAGTCAGTAAGCCATTACAAGTAAATCTGGCTTCGAAAGAAACAGAAAAACCCATTCCAAACTACCCGAAGTATAAATTTTTAAAATGGGAGTTCGAAACTCCTATTATATGGGTCAATGTATTTTTTATCACATTGTATCACATCATAGGTGTTTACGGATTCGTAACGCATCCCTTCTTGACCAGACCAGGGGCCGTTATTTTCGGTAAGGAAAAAAATCTGTAATGTATGATAAAACTTAACGAGAAAACATCAGTCTTTGGGCTCATTATCACTTTTCGTTGAAAATACTGCAAAATTTTATTGTTTATAGTTGTAATGTATGGAAGTCTTGGTGGATTTGGAGTTACAGGAGCTGCCCATAGATATTTTACTCATCGAGCCTATAAGGCCAAGCTGCCTCTAAGAATTATCCTGCTGTTGTGCTTCAGTATATCAGGACAGGTACGTGTGGTTGCAGAGTTTTCAAATCTCATCATTCAACATCTCACGTGATCGAAACCAGCAAATATTTTTCTGGCAAAGAATAACAATGATTGACTTTTAGATAATTGAGTAATATAAAAAAATTAGCATTGTGCCAAAGTATTGAAGTGAAAATGTGATTTTTTTCATTGTAGACAATGGACAAGGAACAGATCCTTGTAAAACGTAACATTTCTTATATCTACTATCTGAAGTAAAATAATTCAATAAAGTTCATATTTTAGAAACATCAGGTATCATCCATTGAATTTCAATTGCTAGAACTTCTGAACATACTCCTCAATTCATAAAATTAATGAAATGAAGTTTCAAATAGATAATACAGATCATTGGAAGGAGAATTATGTATTACCTGAGGTAATAAATCATATACTAACGGGAATACGTGAATGTACTTCTGAATGAAAAAATAAATAGATCTGGGAAACAAGGGCGTCGCCAACAAGTGGCAGTTGCCCCCCTAGAGATGTAGCTAGCCGCAAAGCGACCAAATTGCGAGCAATTGACTTCCTCACCTTGTGAGGCACGATTGGCTTAATCTAATCTCCCAAAAGAAACAAATTCCTTCTTTCCCGAAACGGAAAAAGCATTGAAAATTTTGATCGCTTTACCATACACGACCTGTACAGTAGAGCGATCCTTTAGCAGCCTCAGAAGAACATGGCTAAGAAGCACCATGGCAGAAGATCGCCCTAATGGTCTGGCCATGGTGAGTGTACACAGAGCTATAATAAATAAAAACCTAAATAATTTTAATGATGAAGTGGTTGAAAGTTTTGCAAAAAATCCCCGCAGGTTATGTTTTAATTAAATATTATTTTTGTTAAAATAAATAATTATTACTGTGTTTAAAAGTTTGATTTAGTTATTGTGCTCTCGAGGGCTTGAGAAGTTTTATACATTGATATCAGAACCGTTCTTATTACAATCGTCATCGAGACAAAATGTAACACTTCATGCTTTCGACTGTACTAAGCTTTCACAAGCTTTGACGATAATGAAGACTTTAACAGGTCATTGGGACCTCATATGCAGTTTTTCAAATTAGGATTTTCCTTTCTCATTATCAAATTTTTTTCACTCTCATCTGAGTATCAAACTCATCATTATATTTTCCATGAAGGTTTCACATCTTATAGTTTGGGAGGCTTATCAAAGTTCCGATTCAGGGCCTATATATTTCTGACTCCAAAAATGCAATAGAATATTTTTTCTGGTGACTTTTTGGGTATGCACAATTAATTGGTGATGATTGAAAAATATTGAAGAGAATTGGAATTTCATAATCACAGTGAAAATCATTCACCAATATTTGCGTTTCGAAATTATGAAGAAACTCTTACTTCTATGCCCATTTCCAAAGATCCCAATTCATAAATTTTGTCTACACTTCTTACCTAAATTATTGATAACAACGACAATTTCACTTCAGAACCAGTTGAAAGACTGGGTGAGAGATCACAGAGTGCACCACAAGTACAGCGAGACTGATGCTGACCCTCACAACGCGAAAAGAGGCTTTTTCTTTTCCCATGTAGGCTGGTTGATGATGAGGAAACATCCAGAAGTCATTAGGAAAGGAAGAACAATCGATATCAGTGATTTGTATGAGGATCCTTTAGTAATACTTCACCAAAAGTAGGTGTTCAAGTCTGAAGTACATAAAAGATTGGTATAGAATCAAAATTTGATAAATCTCTTCAATGCGTAGCAAAAATGTATATGTTATCAAAGGAATACACCTTGTTTCACAGCTTAGGAATTTTTTAGGTACTTCACCTGGTTGAAATTGCTGCTCTGCTTTGTTATTCCAATAGTACTGCCGCCATACCTTTATGGGGAAACGTGGTACACCAGCGTCATGGCATGTTTCACTAGGTACATCATTTCCTTGAACTCCACTTGGGCAGTAAACAGCGCAGCACATTTGTGGGGAAACAAACCTTATGACAAGTGAGTATTTATCATTCTGAAGGATAGTTTTGAAGTGGTAAAGATGGTACATATATCGTAAAAGGCATAGCAAATGAATACAAATCTGTTTCAACGTATCGTTAACATGAATCAAGTTTCATAACATTGATTTTGAGGTACATTTTTTTCACCTATTGGAGGATGATGCTTTCTATTTATACTCCACTGTCTATGACGAAGGCTCTACAGAAAACGGCCCAGGCGAAGCTCTCTGCCTCACAGAGACAGGCCATCAGTGGTGCCATCAGTGCCACACTGTTAGCGGCCATGGATCTTCTACCTCCTCTCCACATTTTTCTGGAGAGAGAGGCAAGATGGACTGCATATAGGCTTGTGGACATTGCCAGTTGCACAAATCGATTAAATGCAGAGTGCAATAGACTGTTAGTTGACAATGGTAGTCAATGGTGACTGCGACTGAAAACACCTGCACCAGAACCGGAAGGTGTTTTTGATCCATCTGTGAACCAACAACTATCTGCTCTTAATATTTTCTTCTCCCGCAGGATCCAGTCCTCTCTACTCGGGAATAGTACTTTATAAGGCAGTTCGTACTTGACAGTTGGAAGCATAAAGTCATAGGTCATTTCCAGAATGCTGTGACTTCCAATGTCAACCAACAGTCTGTTGCACTCTGCATTGAATTGATTTGTGAGATCGGCAATGTGCACAAGTCTGTATGCAGTCTGTATGCAGTACTGATGGCACCACTGATAGCCAGACAAGCCTGTCTGTGTAAGCCAGAGAGCTTCGCTTGGGCCGTTTTCTGTAAGGCCTTCGGCCACCAAGCAATTGCACCATAAGTGATCATTGGTCTGACAATCATCACATAAATCCAATGGATTTGTTTGGGACCTGAACCCCAAGTTTCACCACAGATCCTTCGACATGTCCATAGAGACAGTCTAGCTTTGTGTAAAACTTTTTCCAAGTGAGCGTTCCAGGTGAGTCTTTTATCAAGGACAAGATATTTCACCTCCGTTCCGAATGGAATGACCACACCATTGAGGAAAAGTGGCGTTAGATCGTCCAATTTCCTTCTCTTGGTGGGGTTGACAAACATATGCTCTCTCAGCCACCAACTGTGAACAACGTCCAGCGCGCTTTGGAGGATATTACAAGCTACCCTTCCCGACGTGGACCTTGCCAGGATGATAAAGTCATCTGCATAAGCTTGCAGATCAACTTTTCTTCTGTCGAGGATATCTGCATAAGCTTGCAGATCAACTTTTCTTCTGTCGAGGACATCAACCAGACTATCCACCAGGAGCGACCACAGAATGGGAGATAGTACCCCACCTTGAAGGCAGCTCCTGGTGACCCTGAACCTGATGGCCTTGTCTTGAAGAGTCGTAGTTATAGTTCTGTTTACTAGCATGGCATAGATCCAGCCAGTTATCGTTGATTCTATACCCTTTCTAGCCAGAGGCAATCCTATAGATTTAGGTAGTGCATTGTCAAATGCTCCTTCAATATCAAGAAATACAGCAACCGCAATCTCCTTGTTGTCAAGGGATTGGGAGATTCAGCATTGAATGGAGATGCATATAATGCTACCCTCCTGATATGTCTGTCCAGTATCCTCTCAAGTCCTTTCAGCAGGAAGAGTGTGAGGCTGATTGGTCGTACCGATTTGGGGTGTGGGTCCCTTCGGCCAGCTTTAGGTATATATACCACCCTTGCTGCCAACCAACTGGGTGGTATATAGTTCCACGCCAGACTAGCGCTATACAATTTTGCGAGAATAGGTAAAATTATTTTACCTATTTTTTATTTTCGACAGAGCTGTATTCTTACCATCTGCCCTGAAAGACCACTCACCATACAAACTAATCGGCTTCGTTAAAAAGCTGGGTTTATTTGGTCGAGTGTAAATAGGTGTCAGCCACAATGAACCATTGTGGGTTGCGGTGGAGGGTCGAATAGACCCACTCGATTTGGACCTATGTCAATCAAAACTATTGAAGAAAATGAAGTTTTGGTTGATAAACCGTAGTCGAATGAAACATGAAGTACTAAACGTTACGTCTGCTACTATTACAGACATCATCAGTGATATTTGCGTTGATTGCAAGGACGCAAGTTTAATCTCGAAGACTCAGCGAAACTGTTGATTTTGGAATCCCTAGGCACTAACGTAACTATTTCGTAGAAATAAATCCGATAGACGAGTTGACTCTAATGAAAGTAATGAAACGATCTAACTGATTGAATTGAAAGGATTATATTTTTAGGAGATATTGATTGTTGGAAAAAAAGTGTTATGACCCGAAACACATTAGTTTCAGATCCATAACGAATGTTTTGAGTTCAAACTGAATAGGAAAAAGTAACGTTCAATATATTCAAGTAACATTAAGTGGAATATTTTCACTACAAAGCCATAGTCGTGTTCATACAAGATGTGCTGTATGTTCTCCAACATACCGTACAATGGATGTAAGCCACAAATCTGAGACACATTAGATCAAACCAAAGTGAACCATCTCACTTATTTTAAAATTTCTACAGCTCTCGATGCATTCCTGAATCAGAATGGACCATCTCACTTCTTTTAAAATTTCTACAGCTCTCGATGCATGCCTGAAGCAGAGTTACTTATTTTATAAACAGGGGGCCAACCTCTCATTCCACTTTTAACAGGCATATTTATGAACAGCTTGAAGACCACTGGGTGAAAATTCTTCATTTTTGGTACATTCTCGCCTGTTTGAGAGGTACTACACGACATCTGAATCGCAATAGAAACACACAGTTCACACTCGAAACGGAGATAGAGAAACAGACCTGACCATTACAAATAATCAGAATAAATTTGAGTTCAATGTATTTAGAAACCGGACTATACAGATATTACAATACCAAAAGATTCTTTCCATCTCGACAGTCATAAATCAGCAGCCTACTACAATTCAATGTTGCACAGAGCATTCTCACTACCTTTATCTACTAAAAATTTAGATGGGGAAATTGAAAGAGTTATACAGATAGGACATAATAATGGTTTCAACGCAAACACAATCCAGAACTTATTCAGAAAGCAAAGTCTCAAATTTACTCACAAATTAACATATCCACAGATCAAAAAATCAGAAATCAAGAAATTTGTCACTCTAACATATTTTGGTAAAAGAACAGACAGTTGCGGGTTTTTTCACAAAAAACAATATGGAAGTGACATTCACAGATCACATGCCAGGCTATCAAATTTCCTTTTCAATGCCAAAGATGAAGTGGACAAGATGGAGTAATCTAGAGTTTATAAGCTTAAGTGTTCGGAGTGTAATAGTTCATGTGGGACAATGTGGTCGAAATTTCTCAAAACGGTATGTTGAACATGANATGTTAATGGGTCCCTTTTATCTTCAAAGGGGCTCCCCAGTTGGAATATTTAAAAATTATTCCTTATTATACATCTGCAACAGAAAAATAAACTACATACAAAATTTCAGCCTCCGAAAATGTAGCGGTTCGGAAAAAGAGTGATGAAAAGGTAATTTTCATATGTAAACGCGCCCCTTTTACCTCCATGGGCGGCGCTTCAGTTGGAATATTTGAAAATCCTTTCGTAGTGCGCATCTTATACCTAAGAAACTCCTATTTACCAAATTTTAGCTTTCTATGACTTACCAGTAATGAGAAACGTAGATAAATGTTGTTAAGTGAGTGACTTTCGCATTTATAAGTATAGATTAGATAAGCTTCATTTTTGCAAGAATATTTTATGATTTTAACAGGGTTTTCGACATCATCAACTATAATATTTTGTTAAAAAAAACTGAATGAATTAAAAATAATCGGTACATCTCTTCAATGGGTAATTTTTTATTGTCATCGTGTGTTATTAACATATTCAAACTAAAAATATAGCATGAGTTCGATTCGGAGCTAAATAACAGAAACACGTCTCAGATGGGTCAATTTTCGAACAAAATTTGTCCATTCTGCATATAATAATGAAAACTATATTATTTTTTCCTAAGAAAACGCTCGTCGGGCCCTGTCCTCGAAGCCCCCGACACATTCGGGAGGACGCGCCAGCATCATCATCCAGTGATCACTCCCCATACTGAGAGGTAAGTGATCACTGGGCCCGAGAATCATATGCCTTCAGCAGACGTCTGTCGTGAAGAAGCTGGGGAATAACTAATAATAATAATAATAATTGGTTTTATTGATACTGATAAGAGCTATGTATGTACTGATTACATAAGTAATCAGTACATACATAGCTAGTACATAGCTAGTATATAGTACATAAGAGCTATGTATGTACTGATTACATAAGTAATCAGTACATACATAGCTCTTATCAAATGGCAGGATTCATTTTACGCTCATGTTCACTCATGGACAAAACTTGCTCTTCCATCCAACCTTATTCCTATTCAAATTCAATTTCAAAAATGATAATTATGCATAAATACAAATGAAGATTATACATTATTGAGTGAGAATAAATGAATAACAATTTATAACTATATGGTATATAAGAAGTTATATAGATATTAAAATGCCTACTTGACAGGTCTCAAGATGTAGTGAAAATACCCAGTAAAATATATCTCTTAAGTTTTTTTTTCCGCGCACCAGAAGAAATATGCATATATCCATTCGGTAACCGGTTGTATAGCCAGGGTGGAAAAAATGAAAAAGATCCTCTGAATTGAGAGGTTTTATGTGTTGGTGATTTCGGAATCGAAGATTGAGGTTGTGTACGTCCGTCCTGTAACTGATTTTTCTATAAAGATAACTTGGTTTCTTGTTATTGATTATTTTATGAAACAAGACAGTAGAATGTAGAATGCGTCGCGACTCCATATTTAGCCATCCGATATCTTTCAAATGGTGTGACACATGGTCGCGTCTTTTTGTTCCAGTTATCAGCCTCACACATGAATTCTGTAGCTTTTGTAATCTATTCTTGTCAGCTTGAAGGAGATTGGGACCATATACTACGTCCGCAAAAATTAGCATGTGACAAAACACAACAGTGTTCTATTAGAATATATCATTTTGAGATTTATGTACCCTCGTTTCATAATTTGCGATACATGTCGTGTGAATCTTAAAGAACTGTCGAGGTATAGTCCTAAGTTTTTAGAAATATCCTTGAGAGGTAACTCAACTCCGTTTGCAGTTATAGAAACCTTGTCTAGATTGCGTTTACGTGACAATGTCCTTCCAAAGAGCATAACCACAAATTCAGAAGAGATATAAGAAGTACATGGTTGATGCGGTCAAACGCCTTTGAGTAATCGAGCAGAACTAGACGGAAAAGTTTATTATCATCTATTGACCTTTGGCTGTCATCAACTACTTTTAATAATGCAGTTATGCAGCTGAAATTTGCTCGGAAACTAGATTGACTAGGTGGTAGAATATGGAATTCATCTAGATAATTTTGTATTTGTTCACTTGTTATTTTTTCAAAAACCTTGGATATCGCACATAGTATACTGATAGGACGGAGATCGCTCAAATTATCTGGGATAGGTACTTTAGCTAAAGGCAGAATATGTGATTGTTTCCGTAGAGTCGGATATTCATTACGTTCTAGACAATAATTGAAAATATTAGTGACATGAGGAATAATGATAGGGCAACAATGTAATAGCATCTTGATACTCAGTAGGTCCGGATCAACAGCATCAGATTTAATGCTTAAAATCGCTTCATATACTTCATTATTATTAATGGCATAGAAATTAAATGTTTGTTCATATTTTTTTTATTTTGGTTATAAAAAGAAATACATTCCTCATCAGGAATCAAGTTGTTATTGTTGATACCGCAGAAGTATTCATTAATTTTGTTAACATTAGACAAGTGATCTGAAAGCGTCATGTTTGATTTCTTACTGTATATGTCAAGGTCATAGTTGTTTTTTATTTCGTAAACTGAATTCTAAGTACGCTTTTTTCTCAAGGTTTATCGTTTTGTTCGTGAGATTTCTCAAATCCTTATAATAATTCCACCGATGTACAGAGTTGTTTTTCCTGTATCTTACTAAAGCCCTATCTCTTAACCTCATCAGAAGTTTTAAATTTTCTGTTAACCAAGGAGCTTTGTTTTTGGAAATTCTCACGGTTCTTACCGGTGCAAAAATACTAAAAATGCGAAGGATATTTGAGTTGAAAATATCAACTCCACAATTCAAATCCTCCATGTTATACATTATATCAAAATCGATACTTTCTAAAGTAGTGCTAAAATCAACTTGGTTAAACCGTTTGAAGTCTCTGTATCTATACATGAAAGTCCGATTTTTCGTTTTAGGAAAACCTACTTTACATGATACCAGGCGATGATCAGTAAATGCACTACAATCAACTGTAGTACAGTCGCTTATATTCAGTGTTTCAGAACAAATAAGATCTAGGAGCGTACTGCTAGTCGCACTATATCGAGTCGGTTCATCAATCATTTGGTTCAAACTGAATGATTCCAAAATATTGTTCATTCTAACGCACGGAATACTCACTGGATCTAAATAATCTATGTTGAGATCACCAGCACAAATAATATGGTCAAATTTGGGACTAAGAGTAGACAGGCACTCTTCAAGCGGTCTGTAAAGCACCGCTACTGCGAACTTCACTTTTAGGTGTTTAAAAGAGAACCATAATTGTTCTGTATTGACAATCTGCAAATTTTTTATCAAGCTACCCTTGATGAATGTTTTTATATAAACAGCTACACCACCACTACTTCTGTCTTTCCTCATCAGTTCGTACCCTGGCAATATAATGATGTCACTAAGTATTTTGTTATTCAACCAAATTTCCGAAACAGTTATAATATCATATATGTTGAAAACCTGCTGTTTGAATTCAGCAAAACCATTTACAATCGATCTTGCATTCACATGGCAGATCGTGAAACCTGGCATTTTGAATGAACAAAAATGAATAAACAACAAACCAACAAAATATCTTTATGATTTTACATAATATATATAAGAAGAAAAAATTCCAGAAGGTGAAAGTAAAAAAAAAATGTATACAACTCGTTATAAAACCGACAAAAGTTATTGTTTTCCAGTGGACTTGATACGTGAATGATTATCCTTGAGTGTACGTTTCGGGAGCTTTTCTTGAGGTGTTGGCAGTGAATCGTTAGTTTTTCCTTCCTCGGCACCCGCGTACTCCAAATTTGATCTAATAAGTTTGGAACGCGTTGTAACTCTTCCAGTATGTATTTACCATTATCGACAAGTAGGACGTTATCTTGCTGACTCAAATCGTTAGAAAGGAAAATATCCGTATTCTTTGATTTGTAAGCATTCTTCAATATTTCACTCTTTTTTACATATGATAAGAATTCAATCTTTAATAGTTTATTGCCACATCTAATTGTAAAAAAAAAAGATGTTATTTAAATCACTTGCACTAATACGTGTTTCAGTTTTTTCGCCCAAAAGAATAAGGCCAGCTTTCTGGTCATCAACTTCCAATCCAAAAACAATAATATTATTTCTGCGGGATGTGCGGTCAAGATCGAATAAATCATTATTATTACTATCATTATTTTCATTGACTTCATGGCTTGATCTAGGCAATCATCGATATATTTAAATTGGGTTTATAAACAAGTTCCACAATAATTGTTAGGTTTTTGTATATTATCTTCACGCATTTCTTCTGAAGGACCTCTAGTTTATTGACGTGTGATGGTGAGGCTGATCCCCAACTCTACCAATGCATCGTATATTGTTTTTGAATGTTTAATATCCAGAATATCTTCCAAGAATTTATATAACAATACTCTTAGTGTTTTTATAAAACCACTGTCGTCGTGTTCACAAGGAAAAGAGTGTGACGAGGACTAAAACCACCAATAATCAATGAAGTGAAGATCCCTTTCGCCACGAAAGTCAAATACTTAGGTGTGACTTTCGAGCACAGTGGAACCTCTACATCCAAAAAAAAACACATAAGGCCAGGATGGCCCTGGGAATCTGTAGAAGAATGTGCGGGAAAAACGGGGAGCAGAACCCAAAAATGACACTCTAGTTATATACAAGGGTAGTGACTTGGTGGACAACAACAAAGCAATCGGGTACGGCTAGGCTATTAGGCGGCTTACAAAGGCTGGCGTGCCTAAGTGTCGCGGCAGCCATGAGAACGACCCCAACTGCAGCACTTGAGGTCCTACTCGGACTTCCACCATTGCACATCTACATACAAAGAGAAGCTCGACTGGTGACACACATGCTAATGCAGGGACAAACAAAGTGCTCAGCTCATTTCAAGTCTTCTCAAGACTGGTGGGAAGCTGTCTGAGCGCACTGAAGGAGCCAAAATTGGGTCACTCTAGCTTGGGTACCCGGACATGAGGGTCACAAGGCCAATGAGAAGGACGATGTTCTAGTCCGTGAAAGCTCATCCAAGGCTATGATTGACCCAGAATCCTTCTGAACCTGATTCACGGAAGACCTGCTAAACCACAACCGTAAGGTTGTAAGGGTAGTGATGGGTCTAACATATGAGCAACATGGGTGTCACAGAAAAAACCCAATGCAAGGTCTGTCAAGAAGAGGAAGAAACCGCACTGAATACTGTTAAAGATGATTGTGAAAAACGTGGATATATACTGTGCTTTTTCACAATATTTATAGGGTAACTTCAATTTTACACAATAAAAAGCGTGATAATGGAATTCACAGAATATCATATGTGAACCAAAGAGTTAAGTAAAAATACGTTGTGAAATTAAATGAATCACAGAAGATTCTATGGGTACAGTATTGAGAACAGTTTCTCATCTGTTCTCGATACTGTGCAGAGTAAAATTCATATTCACCCTATTAACCAATTTCCTTTCTATTAATACTTGGGGTTTAGAAAACGTAGTAAAATAATTACAATGAAAATAATATTTTATTCCGAAGTACAATGTAATTTGGCATACTGCAATCACATAATAGAATAGAATTTCACACAACTGACGATGTGATAACTCACGTGAATTTGGGTTTTATTTTATGTGATACTACAAATGACAGAAGTGAATATAGATTTCTACATTATAAATACTGTAATACATTCATAATAAGTCATGTCATTTCCTGAATTTATGGTCGAATATTACAATAGAGGTTGTCAAAATGCCTTCGGAAGTTATTTCTGTCTCGTTCCAGGAGAATCTATCCAGCCGAAAACCTCACTGTATCCTTCTTCTCTATGGGCGAAGGATACCACAACTACCATCATACATTTCCGTGGGACTACAGAACTTCCGAAATGGGCAAGTCATTGAACGTCACCACGTTTTGGCTGAACGTTTTCCAGAAGATAGGATGGGCCTACGATATGAAGACTCCCTCAACAGACCTTATCAAAAAAGTCATTGAAAGCCACGGGGATGGTTCTCACTACAAGTGGGGACATGAAGTGCCTGCTTGGGAAAACGATAACTGCAAATTGATAGAGAAAAAATTATGAGTTGTTCACTGATTATTATACAAAAAAATGTTACTGTGCTTCGTTTGTAGTTTTCAAATCCACCTAGGTTATATCTTTCCAAAACTTTAACCATTACTTCTGTGGATTCATTGGAAATATATCAAATATGGACTAATGCACGGATTAGTATTAGACTCGGTTCAGTTTTGACTATTTACCATTGATTTAACCAATATACTAACAATGTTTTTAGGAAACTCGACCAAATATATCTTTATGAAAAGAGAAATGAAAATTTTTATGTTACGATAACGGAAATTCTGCACTATGCAAGGAAGGGTTGCAAACTCAATTGTTTAGAATCCTTGGAAATTCACAAGCATAAACATTGCAGGTGCAACCTGTTAAATGATCAAATCGATTTAATTTACTCTCCGGTTTTTAAATTGGCACATCCGCATTGTGAACTGTAAATTCAGGTACTCAATCAAGTACCTGAATGGTATATAATGACGAATGTAATGAATCATTGTTAGTTTGAGAATATCCATATAGGACGAAACTGCAGTAACGTTAGTTACAAATAAAAGTAGTGAAAAATATAGAAATTTTCATTTCTCTTTTCATTATGATCTTCTACCGCGTAATAACGGCTACATCCATCAATTTATTGAAATATATCTTTCTTGACAGATGCATCAGAAGTCGTCAAGGACTGTTTTCTAGAAAACTATTATTATTTGTCCGATTGCGAGAAAAAATCAAACAAATAATTTTATAGTCTTCCATGACGATATAATTTCATTTCAATTGGCACTGTCCATGACCAGTTGTCTCCCTCATACGAAAACCCTTGTGTGGTATTTAAAAATTGACGAGACCCTACCTCTTAATGTGCGATTTCTAACACTTTAAAATGTATCTTATAATTGTTTTTTATGAAAAGCGGTACATGATGTACGTGGTCAATTCGATTAACTACACTATATTCCAAAAAAATCGTGTGAATACAACATAAAACAAAAACCAGCAAACTTTGGATTGCATTTTCTGTTGAACTACACCTAGATGGCAAAAAGATTTATGGACTTCTGGCAGAATATTTCAAGATTGGCTCACTGCAAGGCGTTTATTCACCCTTCGAAGCTTGATACCAAACAGTTGTTGGACTACAGTAGGGACGAACTCCGATGTCTAACAGGCCTTCAAATTTCTATTTTTTATCAGAATAGGTTTGTGAAATTAGTATATTTGATGCATTTTATGCATGGCCATACTTCTAGAATAGCTATTTATGTAAAGAGTTACGAAAAGTTTAATTTATTTTTCAATGATGAAGTGTTGAATCTACAAATATTTTCACTAATCAAGGATGCTATTCATCACATAGCTTGTCAGTTTGGCGTCTTCTATACATCCATTTTGCTCCATTTACTTTGAGTGATTTCATAGAGGCAGAAGAGGTAGAATACCGACTGATCAGAGTTCTGAATAGAAATTTGTTCTTGTGTTGTGTGATTTCTGAGTTGAAAAGTATGATTAAATCACTGAACCGAGACAAGAATTAGCGAATGATATAAAAATATATCAATAAAAGACACATTCGGAAATCATTTACAAAAAATAAAACATGTCGTGATTGTTTACAAGGAGTGAGGCGTTTTGTTTTCGTTAATTTCATAAATATATTTTTATTATCATTCGTTAATTCTAATCAAGTTTCAATCATATTTCCTTACTTTTTAACTTGGAAATCACTCAACTCAAGTACAAATTCTGATTCAAGACTAGATCCAGTAATTTTTTGCCTTTTTTCACATATCAAAGTCAATCGAAACGAGTGGAATAAATTTATAGAACACGTCAAATCGACAAGTTATGTGATAAACATAATTGATTAGTGGAAATGAACTGTGAGTAATACTCAAAAAAGAGTTTCATTGAAAACGATAAAATATAACTTAGAATGAACGAAAAGTAGAATAAATCACATTTCTATGAAACATATGTTTTATTGAATTTCATTAGTTCGGACTTCCATTGTCTGGTATTATATAAAATGATTTGAAATCTCTGAAAGAACTAAAAAAACGCGAACTGCGATTCTAAGAATTACATTGACCAGATACCCTGTGAGTGCGGAAAATCCTATATCGGTGAAACTAAGAGGCCATTGAATGTTCGTATTGCCGAGCACAAGAAACACACACAGCGAGGGGAAACCAGCAAATCAGGAAATGCAGAGCATGTTTGGACTTATCAACATATAACATCGAATGGTCCCAAGCTGAGATCATACACAAAGAGGAACATTGGTTTAGGAGAAAATTCAAAGAAGCCACATACAACAATGTATTCAGCCAAAATCCTGAGTAGGTACTATAAAAACAGTTTTCCAGGAGAATAGTTCTGACTCTGTTTTTGAAGGAGCTTTGTTTGAGCACTTTGAACGAATTAGGAAGATGGTTGTAGAGATTGATATTCAATGAATTTTCAATAGACCTTGTGAGTTTGTATGGAGGCTGTATGAACAGATCTGCATTTCTTGTAGTATGATGATTAATATCCTGATGCTGCGAATAGATTGATTTATTTTTATGGAATTCAAGTAATTGACTATATATGAATACCAATGGTAGTGGTAGTACACCCATTTTTTTGAAAAGTGATCTCTATAATTGGCATTCCTCAATATTCTGACAGCTTTTTTCTGAAGTCTGAAGATTTTAATGGAGTGAGAGAAATTACCCCACAAAACTATGTCATAATTCATATGTGAGTGGAACAAAGCAAAATATGAACTTCTCAAGGCGTCAAGAGACAATACTCTATTTAGCTGTAGAAAAGCAAATATACTCTTACACAGATTCTTACTCAGTTCATCAATGTGTGCATACTATGATATATTCCGGTCAAGAGTGAGTCCTAGTAGTTTGGCAGTATCATCGCCATTTTCAATGGTTTCAGTATTTGAGGTCGTGAACAAGACCTTCTGGGTCTTGCTTTCATTAAATTTCAACTGATTTGTTGTGAACTACAGAGACGCCTGTCTCAGAGTATCATCAGTAATTGATGGTAATTTGATTATGTTTTTCCGAGACGTTATTAGAGTTGTGTCATCTGCGAAAAGAACACATTCCACTGGTGACATAAAATGACTGAAGTCATTGAAATATATCAAGAATAGCAATGGTCCCAGAAGGGATCCCTGCGGTACACCATTCTTGATAGTTTTATTGTCAGACATGTTTCCATTCGCACACAGAGATTGGGTTCTGTTACATAAGTACGACTGAAATAAACTGAGTGTTAGCCCCCTCACTCCATAAAACTCCAACTTTTCAAACAGAATATCGCGCGAAACGCAGTCGAATGCTTTAGAGAGATCACACATGGTTAATATCACATGTTCACCTCTCTCAAGACCCTCGATAACCAGACTCACAGTTTTTCGAATTGCATCTGTTGTTGATATACCCGATTTGAATCCGTATTGATCTTCACTAAATAATTTGTTATTGATAAAAAAGTTCATGAGACTTGTCTCCTTTTATAAAAAGAGGCAATACCTTTGTACATTTAAACATGTCTGGAAAACACCTTTTTTGTATACACGAGTTGAATAAAAATGTCAGAGGATCTATAATTGCTTCAATTATACCCTTGATCAATGCACTGTTCATACCGTAAATATCTAAGCAAGAAGAATTTTTCAAGGATGTCACTGTATCAATTATTTCTGATGGCGTTATAGGTTCAAGAAAGAATGAAGAACATGATGATTTAGCACCATCAAGTAAATCATTCGAAGTGAATTGGACTTCGAGTAGTTCTGAAATAACATTTTCTGCTATATTAATGAAAAATTCATTAAAAATATCCCCGTTTATATCACAAGTTTGGTTTTGTCTAGGTTTTCTATTCAACTCATGATTTATAATTTGCCAAGTACTTTTTTGTTTATTATCAGAGTTTCTAACAAAATCACTATATGATTCTCTTTTCACATTTTCAATTTGAGTTTGTGTTGTGAATGTCTACCGTCATAGAACGTACTATCATTAAATTAAAAGTTGTTTTGTGAACGTTTATAAGTTTTATCGAGAAACAGCACTCCCATTCACGTCAGTTGGAGGCCGGGGTGGACCGGATGTCCACGTGGGAGTGTTATAGTGGATTTATATAACTCTTGTCCCCATTTCACGCCGGTTGGAGGCCGGGGTGGACCGGATACAAGTGATTTTTATTAATTCGAGAGAAATAATCTCAATACCACAAAATTCGGAATTCATTTCGCTATTGAAATCATCACAATCAATAACCCTATATCCCAAATTTGATTTAACGAAAGTAGATACTCCTTCGTGGTTCCTAGAACTTCTACAAAAATAAGACGCCAAGAATAATCATTAATATTAACGAGTGTAAGAGTGTTTGTTTGTAACCAATGTTCAGATAAACAGATCACTTCTAAGTTTACATTTTCTAAAAAACAATTTAACTGATTAATTTTACTGGAGAGACTTTGAACATTTAGATGAAATATAGATAAATTGTTTATCCATTTGTGGTGAGTACCTATTGATTTTTCTAGAGTTTTTCATCACAGAGGTGATTGATTCTTTTTCCTCCGGTGAAAAAATCTATTTACTAGTGCTCCTTTCGGCCACACACTTGGTACCAATGTCTTAGACAGGTTTTCGTGATCAATTGTGATCTTAAATGATGAGTAGTAGTTGGGATACATAGAATGTAATTGCTCAACTATCACTTCCGGAAAAAAATCAATCAACAAAGATTTGAGTTCTTCAACCGTCATGTCTGGATTTAATTTATAAACATGTAAAAATGCTAGTTTCTGCCGTATTTTAACTTGAATGTTGTTTTTTTCTTGCATTACTCCAACAATTGGAATGTTTTTTGCTTTCTTCTTCTTTTTTTAAGAAACACAAACGAACTGATCATCACTTTCCCCCTCAATGTTTGAAGACTATTGGACTCTCCTGATTGTTTACCTCCGCAGTCAGTACTGGAAGTAGTAGAAGGCGCTGATTTCATGATAGAACATGTCACTGAATAG